GTTGGGTCCCCCGACCAACACCTGTGTCCCGCCCTCACTGACACCCTTCCTTTGGACAGGGATGTTTAACCTCTGACCTCCGCTTCCCCTCAACCACTCCCCATCTCCACATGGGGCCTTAAGAAAGTATATATCCAACGTACTTGACCCTTAGAAGGGGAAACTGAAGCCTGAGGTGAAGGGGAGCCCCAAACCGTCCCCCTTTCCAGCCACTGTCCAGCACGTGTGAAAAGACCCCGACCCCTCCCCCGCCCGCAGACCCAGAGGTTTACCTAGAGAGGAAGGCTTCGCCGTGCTGTGGATGGCTCACTGTCCCACCACAGGGGTCCCCGTGGAAAGCACCAGCGTTAAAATCCAGAGCCCGCCGCTCCCGCCTCACACAATGTTTGTCCCACCTAGCCGGCTACGTTCGTTAGGGGCACTCTATAAGAACTATTCTTATAGTAAGGAATGTTTTTCTTAAAAAAAGCGTTCAGTGAATAAATTAAGAATGATAGAATATTGCCATTTTGGAAACTATTATGAGCTATTGGACAAAGGCATTGAACATCAATGCTGATAGCATCACAAAAGAGACAATCAGCATTATATTTCCTCTAGTGTAAGGACACAGTATCACATAGGAATTAACTTTGCCAACAAAACTGACCTTATGTCTGATCAAGGTTCTAGAGCCAATTACCAATTAATGGGAAAAAGAAGAACATGTTTTACTATACTTGATAATATTGTCAGCAAAATTCAGAATATGGGAAAAGCTACAGGGCCAAAAAGAGTTTCATTAACAAATAAATTACAAGAGAAATCAAAAGATAGCGGAAGAACCTATAGATTAAAAAAAGATATGCTCTATGGCCTTTTGATCAATTATGAGTTTAGAGATAATTAAAAGTGTGACTTTTGATGATTTAAGAATTGTTTATTTTTTAGGTTTGGATAATGGTATTATGATTATGTTTAAAAAAATTTTTTTAGAGATAAATTCTGAAAGAGGTACAAAAATAGTTTAATTTGCCCTGGCTGGTGTAGCTCAGTGGATTGAGCACAGGCCTGCAAACCAAACAACTGCAGTTCGATTCCCAGTCAGGGCACATGCCTGGGTTGCAGGCCAGTTTCCAGCAGGGGACACACGAGAGGCCATACATTGATATTTCTCTCCCTCTCTCCTTCCCTTCCCCTCTAAAGATAAATAAATAAAATCTTTTTAAAAATCTATTTCTTAAAAAAAATAGTTTAATTTGTGGAATCTGCTTTAAATACTGTGAGCAGCATAGGCCAGGATTTGGCTTGGGTTGGTGATTATTAAGGTTTGTTCATAGATACAAAGATGTTTATTATACTATTCTGTCCGTTTTTGCAATGTTAGTAATGCTCTTGTAATAAAGTTTTGTTTTAAAGTTATTAGAAGATAAAAGGAGAAAGAAATGAGAGATGTGGCAGTGAAAATAAGTATACACAACTTGGAGAGCTTGCCATGAAGCAGATATGGGATATTGGAAATGTATATTAAGATGTGAGGTATTAGAACATATTTATAGGCTGAAGGGAATAATTCCAAAGAGAGGAAAATTGATGGAGTAGAGAAAGGATAGTTTTTTTAAGCAATGGCCTTAGTAGATAAGATTAGGAACCAATTTATGGAGGAAAACTATGCATTTAGTAAGGATATGATTATAGGGTTAGTTAGATAATGTGGTGAAGAGAAGAATTGTATTTTTCTTTCAGTTGCTTCTAATTTCTTGGTGAAATAAGCAGTAAGATTACTATCAAAATGTGAGGATTATTTAGTAATTTTTTGGAATTCAGTATGGACTATTTAGTATTTGATCACTATAGATTCTCAGAAGTACAATTCTGTGGTCATAGGGTTTTAACTTTTATAGATCTCTTAATGCATTAACCCTAGTGTTAATGTGACTAAAAACACATCTGTCATAAATATTTTGTATCCCATACCATACTGTATCACCAAAAAAAAGTGATTACAAAAAGTATTAATTTTATGACTGGGGAATTTGCCTCTCAGTTGCTTTTTAATTAAAGCTGATATGCTGCAAATGGAAATAACATTTCTCCTTTTATATTGATCTGAGGTGGGCTAATATTTTGGTTTCATGTAGCCCTTGATTTGGTAGAATTCACACTAGTATTGGTTTATCAATCTTAAATAGTTAAATATTTTACATATATCTTGGAGTTTGGAATATTAAAGTTTCCTGCCATAGGGGAGTCTTTTAATGCCAGCCTTTTGTTTCAACATAGGTCCAGTCTACTCCTTATTGATTACATCACACAAAGAGTGCATGAGCTATTACTTGTATTTTTAGTTTATAGAACCTCTTATGAGGTTCTAGAATATGAACCTCAAGATGCTTGTGAAGCAGTCTGAGTACAGAGTCTTTGATTTTTGTTTCTCATTAATCTTTACTATTGTCTCAGTCATGTCTACTTCAATAACAATGTAGTGTTCATCTGTGGCCAGTACTTTCAAAACAATCAACTCAGTTTTCATAGAAAAATGGTTGTCTTTTGCTGCTTGCAGGGATAATTACTCACATAAACAAACTTGGGAACAAACGTTGGCTGAGTTTTTGTTAAGATTACAGCTCAGCTCTTTGTAGAGTAGTCTCCTAGGTAAGAAGTGTCAACATGCCAAGGTCTTGATCTGGCATTTCACTTAAGTTGGGTTCACTATATGTCTTCTGGAAATAATCAGTTTGTCTTTAATCAAAACCTCCACATTTAGTTAGGTAAGTTTTATAACTTATGCTACTTTTTTATGAGTAATTATGAAAATTTTGTTCTGTTTATTTGTACATTGTTTGCTATATTCCATTACTTTTTCTATTGTTTAATGTTTCCTATGTCCATTTATATGGGCTTTTATGCTGTGAACACTTTCTCATTTTTGTTTTTTTAAGGTTTTATTTATTCATTTTTGGAGAGAGGGGAAGGGAAGGAGAAAGAGATGAAGAGAAACATCAGTGTGTGTTTGCCTTTTGTGCACCCCTTATTGGAGACCTGGCCCACAACCCTGGCATGTGCCCTGATTGGGATTTGAATGAGTGACCCTTTGGTTCTCAGGCCCATACTTAATCCACTGAGCCTCACCAACCAGGGCTCATTTTTCTTATAAATCTTATGACTATTTAATTTGACTTTGACACTAATTTTTTGATTTCTGATTTTCAATTTATAATTTGCAAGTAAATTCTTTGAAATTACCACCTTATTTTAAGAACATTATTCATACATTTATAACTGCCCCTTACTACTGTTATGACTACCTATTCATCATTTTATATATCATTTGTATCATATTTATCTTAATGATGCCCTGAATTGACTTTTTCCCCAAAATTCTGACAACATTTTTATAATGATGTATTGCTGGCTTGGCTAGGGAGATAGAGACACAGAGATGATAGGGGTGGGCATAGGGGATGCTTTTCCTACACATAATTTAAATCATTGCTACCTTTTAATATCTTCTTAGTATATCCTTTTAAAGTAAACTTATTGAACTATAAGTGCATACAAATATACAGAAATTATAAGCATGCAGCTCACTGAATTTTTTACAAGGTGATCACACATAGAATCATATTCAGATTCAGAAAAAGCTTTGCTAGTATATCACAAGCTTCCTCCTAACTCCTTGCCATTCTTTCTCACTAAAATTGACCACTATCCTGACTTTTAAGAACTCTGTAGATTAATTTTACTTTTTTCAGGCTTTATAAAAATGCAGTCATACAGTATATATTCTTTTATGTCTGGCTTTGTTAACTCATTATTATGTTTGTGAGATTGATTCAAGTTATGTGCACTTATAGATTATTTTTGTTGCTGGACAGTATTGTGTTATATCAGTATGTCAAAATTAGCAATTCTTTTGTTGATGAACATTTCTTTCCAATTTGAGCAAATTAAAAATAATGTTTCTGTGTTTTGAATTTTTTAAACTATTCTATTTGAAAAGTATTGAACACTTACTGCAAAAATGTTGAGAAAATTTGTAACATAATTATACATAGTTATATAAACTCGATGAAAATAAGTAGAACCTTTCACTACTTTGGTTGTGAAAGCAGAAGAATGTTTACTCATGACCATGCAAAGTAGAAAGTGAGCTGCATTAACAATATCTGCAAGTGAAAGTAGAGAGGCAGTTGGAAGGATAATCACTTGTAAAGAAATCACCATTTCCCATGTTTATATTTGACTGAGATAGATTAGATGGACTTTTGTTTTCCATCTCTATTGGAAATGGTGAAAAAAAATATTTAACCAATCTAGTAATGTGCAAAAATGAAGGCAAGGCAACATGTGCAATAACTTTTACATAATTATGAGAATTTAATTAATAGTCACTATGTTCTATGGATTTGTTATTCAATGATAATTGAAAGATTGTTTCTGCCCTCAGGGAGATTTGAGATAAGAAAATTAAAACTGAGTTCATAAATATGTTACAACAAAATTGAAAAAGGTGTTAAGCAAGAAACAAGTTACTGGGATAGAAAAGGAAGGATATAAATTAGTTGAAATCATCAGAAATAATATTTTTTAACATGATAGCTAAAGGATGAAAGGAACCCAACCAGCTGAAGAACCCAACTCAGTGTTCCTAGGAATTTTAATAACCAGAGGAAATCTCTAGGAAATGGAAGGATCATGACATAGGAGTAAAGGGACAGTCAGTGTTTTGAAATATGGTAAACAGCAGCCATGCTATTCATGGTAAGGTGTTTGTACATTATTATAATTGAAAGAAACCATTAAAAATTTCAGGTACAGAATTTCAAACTTTGAATCCTGACAATCTGGTGTTACCATTTTCTTTATTCCCCTTAACTTTCTTCAACTTAAATAATTATTTTGGAGGTTTTTTATCTATTTACTTCAACTGGGCTTTATTTTATTGTAAAGTTTTTATTTGCTTACTTGTTTACTTTTTCTAGAATAAGAAAATAGCATGCATTTATCCTTTTTTTCAGATTTGGAATCCAAATTATTTCAAAAGGATATTTATGAAATGAATTTGTCACAGTGGGATATAATGGAAAACATTAGAAGTTATGGCCTGGAAGCCTTCTTTTTCAGAAAAAAATGTGAATATAAAAAGTTTGAGGGGCAAAAAGGTCCTCAGAAGGGATATTTCAGGCAAGTGGAAAAAACCACCTCTGAAAAAAGACCCACTTGCAGAAAACTTAAATCTCTGACTTTATATGAGAGAATTCATAATAGAGAGAAACCTTATGAATGTGGGGAATGTGGAAAAGCTTTTAGAGTACGCCAACAACTTACTTTTCATCAGAGGATTCATACTGGTGAGAAACCCTATGAATGTAAAGAATGTGGTAAAACCTTTAGACAGTGTGCTCACCTTAGTCGACATCAGAGAATTCATACTTCTGACAAACTCCTTGAATGTAAGAAATGTGGAAAGATCTTTACATGTAGTGCAGATCTTCGAGTACATCAGAGAATTCATATTGGTGAGAAGCCCTACGAATGTAAAGAATGTGGGAAGTCCTTTAGAGTACGAGGACAACTTAATCTCCATCAGAGAATTCATACTGGTGAGAAACCCTATGAATGTAAGGAATGTGGAAAGACCTTTAGACAGTATGCACACCTTACTCGACATCAAAGACTTAATATTGCTGAGAAGTGCTATGAATGTAAGGAATGTGGGCAGGCTTTTTTGTGTAGTACAGGCCTTAGAATACATCACAAACTTCATACTGGTGAAAAACCTTATGAATGTAAGGATTGTGGGAAGGCCTTTAGAGTAAGGCAACAGCTTACTCTCCATCAGAGAATTCATACTGGTGAGAAACCCTATGATTGTAAGGACTGTGGGAAGACCTTTAGCCGTGGCTATCATCTAACCCTCCATCAGAGAATTCATACTGGAGAGAAACCTTATGAATGTAAAGAATGTCAGAAGTTTTTTCGTCGTTACTCAGAACTTATTTCACATCAGGGTATTCATATTGGAGAGAAACCCTATGATTGTAAGGAATGTGGGAAAGCATTTAGACTGTTCTCACAACTTACTCAACATCAGAGTATTCATTTTGGTGAGAAGCCTTATAAATGTAAAGAATGTGAGAAGACTTTTAGACTGTTCTCACAACTTACTCAACATCAGAGTATTCATACTGGTGAGAAACCTTATGACTGTAAGGAATGTGGAAAGGCCTTTAGACTTCATTCATCACTTATTCAACATCAGAGGATTCATTCTGGTGAGAAACCATACAATTGTAAAGAATGTATGAAGGCATTCAGACAACACTCACACCTTACTTACCATCAGCGAGTTCATAATGTAACTAAATAATTATAAGAAAGCCTTTCATTCTGAATTTTATGTTAGGGAACATTGGAAAATAAATTTTAGAGGAAAGTTTTTGAATGTTAGGATTCCTTTTACTTCATGCTTACAGCTAACTTAAGAGGTTTTATTTTGAAGGATATGTCCATGAATATGAGGAAGCTGTTTATCACCATTTAAATTAGTTAAACTTTAGGAAATTTATTCTAGAAAGAAAATCTTTTTAAGGAGTGAATGTGGGAAAGAAGTTGATGTGGTAATATCCTTTAGTGGAGAATTTTGCAACACGTGAAATTAATGGAACTAGGCAGGATTCTCAGTAGAGGTTAAGAACATTAGGTGAAATGTTGATAGGAACTTCATTGCGAGTATGTAGACCAGACTGATATCTGAACCCCCTGACTAATTTTAACCTCATCAAAAATATGACAAAATATCTTAATGAGGTAAAATAAGACATCTTGCCAAAAAATATTGAAACTGACTCTAAATAAGCAGCAAGATCTAACTCCCAGTTTAGAGAAAAGTTAGGGAGTGGAAGAACAAATTACATGATGCAAAAAGAGAGCATTTAGATCTAAAATATGGGTAATTCTGTAAGAGGGATTCCCTGGCTTCTCAACCAATAAAATGGCATTGAAGAAAATGAAAAAGTAATTGCTTAGCTATTAGGAGCCTTAACAGGTGTATGAACCAAATGTATTTAACATTGAGAAGTTACATTTTTGTTGAATGATTAATAGCACTGTGTTTATGTAAAAAATGACTCACGTTTATATAGGCAAGATGATACAATGTCTGGAATTTTCTTTAAAATGCTCACAGACAAGAGGTTGGATAACAAGTTTGTCAAAATAGTGGTAAGATGAGTGTCTTGGGTACACAGTTATTGTATATTTGGTTTTGCTATTTCCTCTATTTTTATGTATTTAAAATGTTGTATAATATTCTTTAAAAGGTAAAATTATGCAGTGTTATTACCAGTTTGAAGTGAAATTTTTTTAGTGAATGACTGTTTTAAATGCCTATATATTAGAAATTGTGGATGTTACCAAAGCTCTAAGCAGTGGGATATTAAATATGTTATAATGTATTTGGGAAATTAAAGAATGAGGGTCCAGATTTTACCTGTAGGAATAACTAACTTATTCCTGTATCTGTTCTAGTTCCTGTCCCATTGTACTTCATATATACCATATTTTTAAAGAATGAGTAAAAGCAATTACCACTAAATGTGGAGACTGATGGAATAGACAATTGCTAGCAATGTGTAGACCACTCAGAATTGAGCTATTAAAAACTTGAAGTGTAAATAAAACAAATTTTGTCACCAGAGGAATGAAACAGAATAAACTAAAAAACTAATCTTTCTAAAAAAACAAACAAAAAAACTTGAAGTGTGGCTGGTTCAAATTAAAATGTTGTTAAGTGTAAAATACACATGGGGTATTGAAGACCTACTTAAAAAAGAATGCAATATATCAATTTCTCAGCATTTATCTGCTGTGATGTGGAAGCAGTGATATAGTCAGTGGATAACATTGGTATATAAAACAGAATCCGATTCAAGTGTGTTTCTGCTTCCAAGTAGCACGTTTTTATACTGAGGTCTTCTTGGTTTTACCCTGAGTCATGCTGAGGTTTTTTATTCCTTCATAAATGGTGGCTTGTGTGTACAGCTGAATCGTTTTCTTAGATTATTTTTAGCCTGTAGACATTTTGGGATCCAAAAACACCTCTCTCATTCTGTACTCTTTCTGTCTTGTTCAACTTTGTATTGCTTCAAGTAGTACAGTACTCTTATAAACTGTTTTCTATGTGTGTTATTAGGGTTCACACAATTAGACAAAGGGTCAATAATATCTTCTTTGTATTGGGCTCACTATGAGGCTGCTGTGAAAAAATAACTTTAAAATTATTAGGAGGCCTGTTGTCTCACAGAAAGGGTAAAAGTTGGCTTCATGTTTACTCTAAGGCTGCATTTTCATGAAAGAACCATATAGTTGATTGTTTTCCCTCTTCGGGGGCTTTTATACCTTTGGGGACATTTTGTTACTTGGAAACAGTCATACAACTCACTATATTCCCCTGAAATTGTATTTAAAACATGTACCAATTTGTATAACAAATACAATGTGTGGGGTTTTTTTACTCTCTTAATATGATGGATTATCTTCATAGATTTTCAGATATTGATCAATTCTGGAATAAAGTCCATTTGTTTATAATGTGTACAGTTGACCCTTGAACATGAAAGTTCAGGAAGCTGATCTCCTATCAGTTGAAAATTTGTGTATAACTTTTGACTCCATCAAAACTTAACTATTAAAAAAAAACTTAACTATTATTAGCCTACTACTGAAAGTCAGTAGTCATACTGAAAATATAAACAGTTTATTAATGTATATTATGGATGTTATATGTGTTATATACTATATTCAAGTCTCAGCCAGAGAGAAAAAATGTTAGGAATATCATAAGGAAGAGAAAATACACTTACAGTGCTGTTCTGTATTTAGTGATACCATAAATTTACATCATCTGCAAAGTGAATTGTCAGTACATACCTAAGTATTGTCTTGTATGATACAAACAATGTAGATGTTACACATTTCACTACATATTAAAAATAAAAAGAAGCCCTGGCTGGTGTAGCTCAGTGGATTGAGCGTGGGTCTGCAAACCAAACAACCGCGGTTCGATTCCCAGTCAGGGCACATGCCTAGGTTGGAGGCCAGTTGCCAGCAGGAGATGCAGGAGAGGCAACCATACGTTGATATTTCTCTCCCTCTCTCCTCCCCCTCCCCGCCAAAAATAAATATATAAAATTTTAAAAATAGATAAAAGTAAAAATAAAAAGATGTGAAAAATCCATTCATTTATAGGTATAACTGATAACAAGGAAGCAGCAATATGATTCTTTCATGGCAGCCTAGCCTATACATTAATGAGTCTTAAAGTTTTTATGGCATACAGCACTAGCCATATTTATAATACATTATTGGAAATATTACATTATTTAAAGGCCAGTTATCTGTGATGGGCTGATACAGTTTCTCCAATTATGAGAAGTACTACACATTAATGTAATTCACAGAGAGCAAAGTTATAGAACAATGAGAAAGCTAGCATTAATCTTATAATACAGATCAATAACATGCCTATGTAAGGGACAGGTGATCCAGTTTAAGCCTTGTTTACTATGGTCTATGTGATGCATACTTAGGCAGTAATGATACAAAAATATTTCATGATTTTTGGTCAAGTTAGAAGAGTAGGTAAACACTGCTCACCTCTTCCCATGACTACATCTAAATTCCAGCTAAACTACAGAGTAATCATTGAGAGCCACCTGAAGACTACCTGAGAGGTCCTATAACTAAGGATATAAAAAGGAAGCTACCCTAAGGCTAGTAGGGGTGGAGATCAGCTATCCCACACCCACCTGGAGTGGAGGAACCTCAGTGAGGAGTGAAGCAGTCTTAGCTTCACGCCAAGTTTCCTCAGCCCAGTCTTCCAGTGTGAGGAAGAGAAGTCTCTATAACTTGTGCCTGTGAAACCAGAAGGGACTGTGGCTGAGTGAGATAGAGTTTCTGGAGTCCCAGGCACTCCTCTTAAAGGGCCTGCACACAGACTTACTAATGGGCTTGCTCAGAGCTCCAGCACCTTCTCTTTAAAAAGAACCAAAGACAGGAAGGGACTGAATTGTCTGGATTCAGGACAATATCTTGAAGGGCAACTTTCTCCCAGATAATTGCTGGCAAAGGCCATAGTTCCTTTGTTGAGCCCCACTCCCACCCAGTTTGCAGACACAGGCAACACTATGTATAAGTCTCCAGCAACTTGGCTAATGTTATTGCACTTCAATTCCCTGAGACTCCACCCCACCAAACTTGTGAAACCATACTTCCAGTGGTTTTGCCTTATAACTGGCCAGTCTTGGCTCATGCTTTGGAACTTTATAAAAATGTATAGGTTTATGCCCCACACCTGTTGCTAAGTGGCCCCAAACCTGGCACTGTGACAGTCAGTCTAGGTTTGTAGATTAGCCTCTCTCAGGCATCTGCAAGTCCAGCACAAGTGGCAACCATCTGCAGATCACTTTATAGCTCATGAGGTGGCCCTGGGGCAACAGCTAATGTTGGCTCAGACCAGAGCCAGTCCCAAGAGGAACCAGCGTCAACACACTTGGTGGCCAGTTTGAGACTACAGCAGAAACCACTCAGCCACCTCCACAAATGACAGTAGGCACCAGAACCACGATAAGTGAGTACTGCTCCATGGGGTCTGTCCCTGCACAGCAGATCCTCTGCTATTGTCATTACCAGTTCTCATGGCCAGTCTTCCTGAGGGTCAGTCTGTCCCATTGACATGCCAACAACAATAATGGTTCAGCTCCCACAGGAAGGCACACAAAACCCACACAAGGGACACACCTGGAGCACTCGAGTGACCAGGGAGACTGCTACTGGACTCTACAGAACCCCTACTACATAAGGCAACTCTACCAAGACTGGGAGAGGTAACCACTGTACCTGACAACATAACAACAAACAGAGCCAAAATAAGGAGAAAAAAATTCAAAGTGAAATAATAGAATGGAATGCCAGAAAAAAAGACTAAACAAAATGGAGACAAGCAATCTACCAAATGCAGAGTTCAGAGCACTGCTTTTCAGAATGCTTACTGAACTTAGAGGAAGAGTAGGGGAAGTCAGTGAAAACTTTAACAAAGATATAAGGAACAAAAATGAAGATAGAAAAAATTTTTTAAATTAGTTGCAAATGAAGAATGCATTAAAGGCACTCTTGGATTACATAAAGCAGAGAATTTACCAGTGATTTGGAAGACAATGGTAGCAGAAAACACCCAATTGAAACAGTAAAAGAAAAAAAATGAGAATAGTTTAAGGGGCCTCTGGGACAATAACAAGTATACCAACATTTGCATCATACAGATTTCAGAACAACAGGAGGAATCAAGGAATTTAAAATCTACTTGAAGAAATAATAATGGAAGACTGCCCTTATCTGGCAGAGGAAATAGGCATACAAGGTGAGGAAGTGCAGTGAATCCCACAGAAGATAAATTCAAAGGCCCAGACCAAGACACATATTAAATGCCAAATGTTTAGGAGAATCTTAACAGGGGGAAAAAAGCAATTTGTTACCCCCAAGGGAATTCCCATGAGACCGTCAGTTAATTTCTCCACTGAAACTTTGCTATTAGAAAGGACTAGCATGAAATGTTCGAAGTAATGAAAAGAGAGGACCTGCCACCAAGACTTTACTCAGCAAAGCTATAATTTGGAATCAAAGGAGAGATAAAGAGCTTCCCAGTCAAGAAAAAGACAAAGGAGTTTAGCACCACCAAAGCAATATTAAGAATAATTTGTTAAAATGACTTAAAATGGAAAAATTTTTAAATATGAATAACAAAATGGCAATAACTATATACCTATAAATAATTACTTAAAATGTAACTGGATTAAATGCTCCAGCAAAAAAAACATAGGGTGGCTAAACAGGTAAGAAAACAAGACCCATACATATGCTGCCTACAAGAGATCCAGTTCAGATAGAAAGACACATATAAAAGTAAACAGATGAGAAAAGATATTTCATGCAAATGGGAGCAAAATAAAAGCCAGGGTGGTAGTAATTATATCAGACAAAACAGACTTTCAAACAAAGGCTGCCCTGGTGTGGCTTAGTTGGTTGGGAGTATCATTTCATTCACTGAAGAGTTGCTGGTTCAATTCCTGGTCAGGGCACATGTCTGGATTTCAGGTTTGATCCCCAGTCAGGGTATATGCAGGAGGCAACCAATCAATGTTAAGAACAAAATAAAGGGGAAAAAAACCACCAAAGGCTTTAATAAGCAACTAAGGAGGACCCAGCAATTCCACTTCTGGAAAAATCCAAAACCCTCATTTGAAAAGACGTCTCTCCCTATGTTTATTGCAGCATTGTTTACAAGAACCAAGACATGGAAGCAACCTAAGTGTTCATTAATGAATAAAGAACAAGTGGTACATGTATGCCAAAATATTACTCAGCCATGAAAAAAGAATGAAATTTTGCCATCTCCAACAATGTGGATGGACATACAGGGTATTTTACTAAGAGAAATGAGTCAGAGAAAGAAAAATGCCATGTGATTTTACTTATACAGGAATCTAGAAAACAAAAATCAGAAACTCATAGATACTGAGGACATTTTGATAGTTGCCAGATGGGAGGAGGTTTTGAGAGATTGATGGAAAAAAGGAAAAGGGATTAAGTTGTGAAAATTGCAACTTATAAAAAGTCATGAGGATATAAGGTATGGTATGGGGATATAGTCAGTAATATTATAGTAACTATGGTATCAGTGGGTACTAGATTTATTGGTGTAATCAGTTTACAAGTTATATAAATGTCTAATTACTATGTTGTGCACGTACAGCTGAAATAATATATGTGAACTGTAATTAAAAATATAGTTTAGAATGTCCCACATGGTTATTGTCATGCAGTTACTAGACTTTTAAAGACACACATAACAGATGAGTTTATTAACTACAGTGTGACCATTATTTACTCTTATGTGGAAGTGGATCATCTCATAAAGATCTTCATCCTTGTCTTCGTGTTGATCAGCCTGAGGAGGAGTAAGGGGAGGGTTTGATCTTATTGTCTCAGGTGGCAGAGGTGGAAAGAGAGGCCTGCGTACTGGATATAACTTTGTGTGAATATATTGTAATTTCTGTCTGACTTTCTTTTTTTTATTTCTCTGAAAATATTTCCCTAGCCACCCCTGTCATCATCCAATGGACTCACAAACAATGTGGCCATGGTGGCAGGGGTGAAGATTATGCATGGGGTCAGCACTTTCATTCACCCTGTGAATTTGATTCACCAGGGCTGACCTACAAATGGCGATTGTTGAGTCAATAGGACAGCAGCAAAGACCAACAGTAAAAACACCCCCTCTCAATATGGCACCATCCTCTGGAGTATTCAGCCAGATACCTCATTGCAAGTTGCTTACATTGGGCTACTTTTTATTATGGAAGGGGAAGCTATTTGTCCTTACTAGAATAGAAACTTCCTATGGATATGGATTTGCCTTCGCTTCATGCCATGCTTCTGCCATAACTACTATCCATGAACTTTGCCTCATCTACTGTCATGGTATTCCACACTGCATTGCTTCTACCAAGTAAGTGCACAGGAAAATAAGAGCATCAATGGCTCCATGCTCATCAGTATCACTTTTTACCATGTTCCCCACCATCCTGAATCAGTTGTCTTCATAGACTGGTGGAATGACCTTTTGAGGACTCCATTACAGCACCTTCTAGGGAATCAATGTGTTAAAGGCTGAGGCAAGACTCCCCACCTCCCTCCCATTTCCACCCCCCCTTAGTTTTTGTCCATGTTCCTGTGGATCATGGACAAAATACATGGACAAGTATAAATACTTTTATACTTGTTCCTGTGAATCCTTCCCCTTTTCCCCTGAAATTCCCTCCCCTCTCTCCTCTGGTCCCTGTCTGCCTGTTGTCTATTTTTTAGTGTCTTTAGTTATATTTTGCTTGCTTGCTTGCTTGTTTGTTTTGTTGTTTAGGTTCCTGTTAAAGGTGAGATCATATGGTATTTGTCTTTCAGCACCTGGCCTATTTCACTCAGCATAATGCTTTCAAGTTCCATCCATGCGGTTGCAAAGGGTAGGAGCTCCTTCTTTCTT